ACAATCCCTGCAGATGCCATCTCGATCGGGGTTGTGTAACGCCGCTTCGCGTGGGTGGGGATGATGCGGCACCCACGGTCTGCCGTCAATGTGCTTCCAATCCCTACGGTAGATGTGCTCGAAGCGCAGTGGCACGAGATCAATCAACTCGTGCGAGTCGCCGCTGCAGTCGGGAATGTCGAAATCTAGGACATACACTCCATTTTCGGAGTGCGCTCGTCCGATCTGCCTGCGGGGAAATTTGCGCGATTCGTAGTGCAGCACGATGTCTCGCGTCGCGCGATCCATGCTGAGGTCGACGCCGCAGTCCATGAGCTGTGCGGCGGACAGGAGGCTGAAGCGCAGGTTCTGGACGATCAGCACATCGTTAAGCGTGATGTGCGTGCGGCTTCCACGTGCTTTGAGCACGACAATGCCTTGTGCGCTTGCGCGCAGGCGCGTGTTGTTCGCCACAGTGACGTAAGTGACTGTAGGGGTGGGAACGGCGTTGGATATGTAACGCTCGGAGCCCACCATATGCTGGCCGCAGCAGCTGTCCAGGTACAAGGTGTTGTAGCGCTTGTTGTCGTCATGTGCGAGCAGCGCCAATCGCGGTGTGACGATGTGCCGGGTGTCGAACTTCAGAAATTGCTCGCGCGAGAGCCAATCAAGTGGCGCCACCCGCATGTCTGGTATGTGCGGGGGACTTTCAAGCAGCGGGATTGGGAGGTTCCAGTCCTGGTCGTCGTCGTCGTTGAAGTCGCGGCGCGGGCTGAACGGGTTGTTGTTGGTGAACGCGCCGATGGGGTGCGGTGCTGGCTCAGGTGAGGGTGAGCGAACACGGCGACGACGTGACTCGCCTGTCATGGCCATGTTGCTCATGACGTTGCGCGTAGGGGCAGTTGATGCTGCTGCTGCTGATGCTGAACGGTTGAGTTCAGATTGCGCGCGGGTGGGGGTTAATACCCTTGAGCTGGACGCACGTCGCCTCGTGCGTCTTGTCGGCCGGACCAGTTGCTCGGATTGGTCTGGCGAGGGCGAGATCGGAACTTACATCGATCCGCCAAATGCCCGAAGTTTCTGCAGATTTTGCAGTAGAGGCGGCGCGGTCGTCGCTCTTCATTGTTGTCGGCGTAGAAGGCGAGCCGTTCGCGTTCTCGTCGTGGCGCTGGTCGCTGCTGATCCATATCCCGTTGTTCGACGAGAAGGGTGGCGCAAAGGGCGGCCTCCGAGATGACCCCCTGCTGTCGGAGGAGCGCCTTGCAGGGCCGCCACTCTGGGCCAAGCCCTTGAAGCACAATGTTCACGAAGATTTCCTCGGAAATCGAGCTTTCCAACTTCGCCATTTGATCGCGAAGGCTCCGACAGCGATTGATATAGCTGTTGGCCTTCTCCCCTGAGGTAATCTATGTTTCCAGCAGTTGCTAGAGTAGTCGACTCGAGGAGACGGAGTTCTTGGGCTGATACACGTCGTTCAGGTGGCGCCAAGCGTCGAGGGCTGGGGCAGCCGATGTCTTGTATGAACGAATGTTCAGCTGCTCCGCCGGCGACATGTTACGCAGAAGAATCCCGTACACCATCAGGGACTCGATATAATAGCGAGTCCTGGCGTCGTCGGTGTCCTCAGTAGGTCCCGAGTAGCTCCCGTCGAAATAATGATAAATCTGCGTGTTTTGCAGCAACAGCTCCAGCTCGAAGCTCCAGGTGTAAAAGTCTCTGCCGTCAAAGCACACACTTGTCTTTATTTTTGATATGCTAAAAACCTTGATTGCGCAGAGAGAATTGCTTCAACGTTGGGACAGGGAGTCTTGGGGGTTGAGCCATTCGTATCTAGGGAGAAGCCTTGCGGGGCGGAGTTTTGGCCGTTCGACGCCAGTTGAGTGGGTTGGGAAGAGGTTCCCGCGTCGCCATTCCGCAATGTTTGGAGTCCTTGCTCCAGGCTCGTGAGTCGCTGAAGCAGTTGTGCGAGGACGGCAGAAGGGATCGTCGTCGTTTCCTCGCTTGTCGCAGCCAGGTTGGGCTGCGCTTCAGCCGTCAGATTCGTCTGATCACCAGATCCTCCGGCCATTCTCACACGCGAGCGTGTGCCGGACGCCACTTTCCGAATGTCGTAAATTTCGGGAGTGGCAGTGCGAAGGATTCCCGAGCCGCTCTCATACCATGCTGCGATCAGAAGCTGATCGTGGCCTAGGATCTACTCAGGAAGGTTCGCACGCAGAGAAGTGATGTTGGTGGGCCCTTGACCTCAATAGCAGAGTGAATGTAAAATGCTTTGAGATGATTTAAAACATGCAAATACAGCAAATATAAATATGAGTACAGGGGAGATGAAACGACCTAGCTAGCCATGTACTCTAAGGGGTACATTCCCTTATTCTGTCAGAATGTTATTGTATACATCACTTTATAACTGCCTGCAATGTAGACTTAATGTAGTTATCTTGCTTGTTAGGTGGTGCACCTTGCTTCTCTTCTTTCATATTTGTACCCTTGAGCCTATAGTGCAACCATCCTTTTGCAACTCTCTCGACATTCCCCCTTGAGCACTCTCGAACTTAACTACTAAGCTACTAAAGCTATGGCTCCTAAGCCCACCTACACTTAGCATATTTCACATAGAATCACAGCTGTTACGCTCTTGGCCTGTGGGCCCCACGTGCTTCCGCTGCTTTCCTGTCTGTCGCGCGCCCCGTGGCGCGCGACGCTTTTTTCTTACCGCCACGCGCTCGGGGCGCGAGGCGTCTTCCTGCCCCGCGCGCGGCCTGCTCTCACGCCGCCTGTGCACCTGCCCCACATCTGCGCGCGGGCTTGTTCTGCCCGCCCGTACCCTCGCGGCCCCTTCGCGGCCCCTTCGCGGCCCCGTCGTCGCCCCTAGCGGCCCCGTCGCCGCCCTTCTCGGCCCCTTGCGGCCCCTTCGCGGCCCCGTCGCCGCCCCTTCTCGGCCCCTCGAGGCCCCTTCTCGGCCCCGTCGCCGCCCCTAGCGGCCCCGTTGCCACCCCTAGCGGCCCCGGCGCCGCCCTTCTCGGCCCCGTCGCCGCCCTTCGTGGCCCCGTCACCTGCTCGTCGCGGCGCACCCCCCCTTGGCCGCCGCCTCTGCCTCCCCTGCGCCCGCGCCTGCTTTGCAGCAGCGCGCGGGCCTGTCTTGCAACAGCAGCCGCCCCTGGCCCCTGGAGCAGCCGCACCTGCAGCCGCCCCTGGCCCCTGGAGCAGCCGCCCCTGCAGCAGCCGCCCCTGGCCACTGGAGCAGCCGCCACTGCAGGAACCGCCCCTGGCCCCTGGAGCAGCCGCCACTGCACCAGCCGCTCCTGGACCCTGTGCAGCCGTGGGGGGTGGGTAGGGGGTGGCGGGTGTGGGGGTGATGAGTGTGGGTGCTACCCTTCCTGTCCTCCTCCTCCTACTTCGTCTCCCACTACTGCAGCTGCCGCTGAAGGGGGGTGGATGTGTGGGAGCCGAGGGGGAGTGAAACTAGGGGTGCGGCAAGGGGTGTGAAAGGGGTGTGGGACATGTGGGGGAGGTTGAGTGGAGGTGGCCGCCGTGAAGTCAGCAGCTCCAGTCGCCCGTGAGACCGTTGCGCCAATCGCCCGTGAGCCCGTCGGTCCAGTCGCCCGTGAGCCCATTGCTCCAGTCACCTGTGAGTCAGTTACTCCTGCCGCTCGTCTAGCCGCGGAGTCAGTTACTCCAGTTTCCCGTGTGCCAGTTGCTCCAGTTGCCAGTGTGCCAGTTGCTCCAGTTGGCCGTGTGCCAGTTGCTCCAGTTGCGCAGTGTGCCAGTAGCTTCAGCTGCCGCCCACCACCTCCTCTCCTCTCATAGTCCCTCCTCCTCCTCACTTGTCCTCTCCGTCTGCTGCGCTCTGCTTGGTGTACCCCTTCCGGGGTGTTTCTGCGCATGGTTCTTCACTGCAGGCAGTTAGGGGGTGTGTCAGAATGTTATTCTATACATCACTTTATAACTGCTTGCAATGTAGACTTAGTGTAGTTATCTTGCTTGTTAGGTGGTGCACCTTGCTTCTCTTCTTTCATATTTGTACCCTTGAGCCTATAGTGCAACCATCGTTTTGCAACTCTCTCGACATTCCCCCTTGAGCACTCTCAAACTTAACTACTAAGCTACGAAAGCTATGGCTCCTAAGCCCACCTACACTTAGCATGTTTCACATATTCAAATACATTCCCAACCGTGCGGCGCGAACAGTTACGAAACTGTTCTCGCCGAAACCATCCTGGCTGCAGCTGCCTGATGTTGTCTGCTCCGACGGTCCAGATGCGTCCGAGCTGTCTGACGCTTCGAGTCGATTCCAACCGTCTGACGCTTCGCGTTCATTCGCGATACTGCGTGCTTCTCTTTGCGGCGGTGAGGAGTGCACAGTAATATTCAAGTATTACTATTCGTAACAACAAGTTCGTACAAAAAAAGGACACCATCATTCTGACCAAAGTGAATTTTCAGGAAAACGGTTAATTTACCATGTTGGAAAAACAATTACGGATTCTTTACTGATTCGGACTCTAAACAATGTATGCACTATTTAAGTGGCTTTAAAGGTATGAGGGCCAATTATTCTGTCAAATGTCCACCTACGGTATTTGTTTTTGTTCTTCCAATGTGAATCAATGTTAAAATGTTAACGAATCTCCATGAGAGAAACATAAATTTTTGAAGACCCTTCCAGCGCTTCGCGGATTGTTCTGCCTCGCTGGCCAGTGGTGGCTGGAAGATCTCTTGTAGGGCGTGAAGGTCGCACGCGATTCGTAAGACCCTACTTCCGCTCACGGGATTGGTGATGCCTGGCCCCGCTGATCCTCACCTCAACCTATCAACGGCTCCCGCCCTGGTGGCTCAGCAGAGAGAATGCCATCCGATTCTACCCAGGTGAAAATAAACCAAGCTCAACTTCAACCCAACCCTCACTCCCCGCTCCGGCTGGTGCTGAATTCTGCATTTTGCTGAATTCTGTGTTGCCTCCCACAGCAGCATTCCTTGTGATCTAATATTGTGTTTCGTCACCAACTCTCGCAAGACCAATGGCTGCTCTTGCATGCCAGACGGCTGCCACCTTTGCCAAGCTCGGCTCCTCGTCGAGTGCTCAGGCCACTAAAAATTCCAGAGTGACTCGTGCTGCATTTCTTGGCCAGCGCGTTAATGGCGGCTCAAGCAGCAGAGGTCAGGTTCTGAAACAAGTGTACATATTTACTCAAATAACTCTGTTGATACCGAAACGTTAGAAACTCAATTCACTATGTCTAAGTCCTCACACATGTGCTTTTCGATCCCTCAGGGGTTGCGAAGATTTCGAAGTTCGCAGTGAGGGCAACCGCTGAAAATGAGGAAGCACCATTTGTCACTCGGTCCAAAGAGCTTCTTGAAGAAGCCAAGGCGAAGGCAAGCGCTCTCAATCAACCGACATGGCGGTTCGGGTTCGAGCACTTCACACACACTTTATACATTGTCAACTAATGATCTGTTATTGTGTACACAGTGGGATACAGTTGACGACAAAAGCACGGTTCTTCTCTACGGCGGCGGAGCTATTGTCGCACTTTGGCTCTCCTCCACGATAGTATCCGCCGTCAACTCCATTCCGCTGGTACTGTGCAAATCAGTAGGAGTATTCGTTCTGGTAACTTCAAGACTTTTAACTAGTGGTTTTCACTTTCTTGCAGCTCCCTAAGGTCCTCGAGCTAGTGGGCACGGTCTATACTGGCTGGTTCGTCTACCGCTATCTCCTGTTCAAGGTTCGTTACATCGCCTTTGCGTTGTTTCCTGGTTCTGTTTTTTTTTTTTTAATCAAGGGTCATCACACTGAAGGCGCTTTCGTTGTGTCTAACAGTCAAGCAGGAGGGAGCTGTCGCTTCTTGTTGATGACCTAATGAGCAAGATCACTGACAAGAAGTAAATTCCGTCAGCATTGACGATGGCACAAATCGAGGACCGCTTCCGTAGTTCTGCAATCTTATTAAATTATTCACTACCGTATCATATAGTTGATGTTACAATATATTCAGTCAGCCAGAATAATGAATGATTTCGACAGGCATGTGAGCACCATCAGATTCTATACTTGTTGATTTAGTGTTCTTAAAACGTAACCTTGGAACCTGCATAACAGCAAAACAGACAACGGGATGAGGTGGTGAAAATCAGCATTGGTATGGAAAGAAACAAATGGGCAGTATGATTCAGACTCGGAATGGATTGGACAGGGTGGGTGGAACATAAGAATCGGGAGGAAATGACATGGCAAGCAAGCAGGGTGGGCGGGAGGGAGTGCCAGCGAACAGAAAAGGCTGGGAGAAAATGGCAAGAGGAACAGCGAGGGCTGGGAGGGAGTGGCTGGATCAATGGGATGGGCTGAGGAGAATGGCTGGACTAGAGTAACAAGGAGAGGCTGGAGAGAGTGCCAAGGAGGTCTAGGAATGGCAGCAGTTGTGGGGAACATTAAGAGGGAGAATTTGCATTCAACGTAAAAACAGTCTATTTGGGCCGAAAATGCAACATACCTTATCCAATGACACTGCATTAGACATTTGTTGCAGAAACACCTCCCTGTTGGCAGGAAATCGATTTGTGGGGTCCATCACAATAACGTGGGGGAAACTGGACAGGAGGCACAAAAAGTGAGTTAGACAGTTGCACAGTATAGTGGACACCAGAAGTACAATTGTTAGGAGAAGAATACTTACTCAGAACTTGCACAACTCGTCTGCCGCAGCAGGTTTGGCAACAGTCTTGGTAGAAGTGACGAGGCAGAGCGGTCATAGAGGACATCACATGCTAGTACCTGGAAACAGAGCATCAAACAGGCCCATTTTCACCTTGCTTACTCCAGCTGGAGCATTTCCAACATCCAGATGTCTCTCATCCTCACCTTCTTTGATCAATTACTTCCCCTTTTCACTTCTTAACCAGTCCTCACGTCTCAGACCATTCAAATAGGTAAGCATAGCAGAAGAAAGACAGACATACAGAAAGTGAAAAATAGCCTACCGTGTCAAACTTTTCTCCATAGTAGTCCCCGTCAGACCAGTCAAGCACTTCAGCAGAAATAGATGCAGCTTCTGTTATAAGGATAGCCTCACTCAATGACACTTGTGAACCATCAAGAGCAGGCAGATGAACGTGAGACAAATCTGGGGAGACTGAAAGCTGACTGTGTTCAAGGGGAGATTGACATGATGAGTCAGTGGATCGGGATGCAGAAGATGCATTAGTTTCTGTATCCTGACTGATGCGGTGGTGCAGGAGGTGGTCGGGTGGAAGGGCGACAAGAGAAAGAAGGTGCTTCAAGGCACCTGACTGCTGTGCTGAGGTCAACCATTGTTGAAGCGACCGTAAGGACGGGGGGGAGGGGCGAGACTGAGGAAAGCTGTGAGCATTAACGATGCTTGTGAGGAGGCACGACAGAAGAGCAAGAGGCTCCCGGTCAAAGAACACCACTTCACGAGCCCCTGCCATTAGTGCTGCCAGACCAGCAATGCCTGCAGCCATGGATTGTGATGGGAGCAGTCAAAGAAGAGTGACATTTCAGAAAGAAACGCTAACACTGACTAAGGAAAGGAAAGCAAGGTTGAAACTTTGCCATGAAATGGAATGGCTGAGCTTCTCTTGTCCATTCTACACAAACACCAAATATCAGCTCAGCATGTGTGAACTGTACCTGCACCAACATCGATCCAGAACACGGACACGGACAACATGCTTTTGCTTCTTCCCTTTCTGCACGTACCTATTCCAGCACCGAGATCACAAACACGCTGGCCCTGCACTGTCTCTGGGTGCGCAAGAACCTGAATGAGAAGGAAGCACACGAAGGTAGGGTAGATAGAATGGTATTGTAATACTACCGTGTGATTAGCGTGTCGGACCTACAATGAATGGTGTCACCGCTATAGCCTTCTGACCACCATCCCACCTACAGTTGCCGATCCTCCTCCCTCACCTCTCGGAACATGGCCTGGGCGCAAGGCCACACCTGGCACCAGTAGGGGTCCTTGTGCTCGCCCGAGTCCGCCTCTGCCACCCACCAAGCAGAAAGAAACCCACAGGATAGAGATCATCCGAGCAACTCACAATCAAGTGCACAATCACCAGCACGGCCGGAAAGGACTGTGGGTCAAAAGAGAGAGGATAGGGATCGTTCTTGGGGGGCGTTCACCAGGCAATGACTCGGTTACGAACCGAGAGGGGATTTTGGATTGTTCAAGCGTGTACGGGCGTACCTCTGGCAATGTACATGTCAAGCACCGTGTCAAGGCAGCGAGGCTGAACCACCCTCACAGTGTGCCCAGCCACTGCGACCTGCCATGAACAACGGCCACCAGATCAGGTAAAAAGCAGCTGGTTCCTTCTCGGGAAACTGGGGGAGTGAACTATGGTGCTGTGCTTGACTCAAGATGCCATGCCATTCCGCGAAATGCGCAACCGTATCCGTTCACCTCGACAACTTCTAGCTCGGGAATGAACAGTGGATCCAAGTACCCAGCCGTGACGTCGTCTGACGAGTCTGTTCCGCTTGCGGACGCGCCGACGGCGTGCACGTCAGCAAGCGACGCGTAGGTACTGGCGGACCGTCGATGTCTTGCGACTCTCGCGAAATGCGAAGGTGATCCAGTAATGGAGGGGAGTGGTCTACCGGAAGCGAAGAAATGCTTCGCGAAGACCCTGCAACTCCTGTCTCGAACATCATTAGCTTCGTGGATTACGAATCTCGCCGTGGAAAGGACCGTTTGCTGTTGGTGCCCTGCAGCAGATCCGCGAAAAACCTGACCACGCACACTGGGTTTTAGGCTAGATGCCAGGGTAAACCGCCGAGTGCGCAGCCTTGATGCCTGAAGATTCAGCAGGCTATTACGCATGGTCGCCGCGACTGCGGCCATGGCAGATGGTGGGATGGTGGTTGCGTCTTGGAGAATGTGGAAGCGCAAAAACAAATGCAACCGCAAAAGCTTTTTGTTGTGCTTCTGAGGACGCGGTACAAGTGCAATATCGCAGGATCGTCTGCACATAACGATCCCAGCAATCGATTGGGCAGATCTATTGGCGAAACGTGGCGATCGCGACGTTGTAACGATCGCCACTGAAATTTGATAGATCTCCCGCGATTTGTGATCAGTCGCATTCACACACAGTCCAAAAAATTGGGCCAAAAAGCGAACTGTAGTATGGTTACAGCGTAGTAAATAGGTTAACCAATCCACACATCGATCGATCGTCTACTTTTACCGCGTCCTGAAGCAATGAAATACCCTCCCCCCCCCCCCCCCCCCCCCCCCCCCCCCCCCCCCCCCCCCCCCCCCCCCCCCCCCTTGGATAACCTTGATGATTATCAGATTCTCCTCGTGTAGAAGGGTCGGTGGTATCTTCATGTTTATAAGGAATTTTCTCGGCATTCCTTATGGAGCCCGACTACATCGCGTACAGCAACAGCCGTTGTTCGCCCGTTACTGCTAACGGGGCTTCGCCAACTTCGCGCGCACTGTTTTGCCAAACCTCGCACTGCTGGCCCGGCCGTGTCGGCCTACGCTTCGGGACTAGCGCGAACCTCGCTGCCAGCATAGCACTAGCTAGCTCGCACGCACCGCGCTACCGTTTGCATGTTTCGCGTATAAATGTTCGCTCATGCCTTCGCTCACATCTTTGTACTCGTTTGACACCTTAAGGCAATTCTCGCTACTTCGATTCATTGCACCCGTAACACTTGGTATTCAGAGCCCCTTTCTTTCGGACCGCGCATCTCCGCACCCCAGGAAATCAACTTTTGATTTTTCACTCGAAGGGAGTACCTTTGTACCTAGGAGCCGCTGTCCTTGCGTTCTCTCGTAAACGCGTGCAGCCACGACTGCGCCTAGACTAAGACGAGCCGACGCCCTTCAAAATTGCTGAACACATCGACGTCACGACTCTCACGTAGGAGCACTTGAACGATCTGCTGCGACAAATCCGCGAGAGCGCCGAGGAAATCACGACGCTGACGGCAGAACGCTCGTCCCTGCAAAACGACCTCACACGAGCACAATCCCAAGCACCTGGCACTCCGATTCAGCCCGCACCACAAACATCACAGCACGGAAGTGTGGGGCAACCCGCGAGCGCCGCAAGTGATGGCGTCGTCCGCCACGACGGAGACGACGACCACGGCACGACACACCCCGACGCGACGAATGCGGCCAGGACTCAACCTCAAGTCACGATTTCAGTGCCGGCCGGCGGATCAACTCTTCCGTCGCCGATGCCGCTAAAGCCGCGACGTCCGCCATGCTTTGACCCAAGTCAGCGGGGTGGTCCTACTGTTCAGGCGTGGCTCTTCATGTTGAATGTTTTCTTTGACGCGAACTACGTCTCGCAGGATACGGCGAAGATTCGTTACGCCGTGTCGTTGCCGCGAGGACCCGCCATGGACTGGTGGCGCGTCATCGTCACGAAGCCGGCGGACTACGCAACTCTAACGACAAGGGAAGGACAAACCGGACCCTGAGCGCCGTCGTATTTCGTGGAGGTGCCCCAGTATCGCACGTGGGACGCGTGGTGCGCAGGTCTACGCGCTCGTTTCGAGCCAATCGCGGCGCGACAGAAGCTCCGCACTTGGCGCCAACTCGGTTCCGTCCAAGACTACACGAGCGGATTTCTGGCGCTATGCGAGTAGGTGGGATATATGCACGAGAGCGAGCGCATCGACCGCTACATCGGCGGCCTGAAGCAGGACATTGCTTAGGAAATCCAGCTTCGCGGCGTCACCGACTTTCAAGAAATTCTCGCTATGGCGGAGAAACTCGATTTCTTCCGCCGACCGAGACCGGGGTCCTACGGAAGTAGCCATTTGGGACATCGGCCTGGTGGGACGAACGAGGGCGCCACGATACGTGCCGTCGCCGCAAATGCCGCTGCCGCACCGTTCAAAGGGCGCTGCTTTGCGTGCAATCGGCCGGGACATCGCAAGAGCGAATGCCCGGAAAACGCTAAGGGAAAGGGGGAAGTTGAGCAACAGAAACAGACCAAGCAGCAGGGAAACGCTGGGAGTCAGTAGCAGACGGGCCCTCTACTGTCAGGTCACGCCGCTCGCCCGACCCAACCGACCCTCACCGAGTGATTGTGCCGGTTCACGCAATCGACCACACCCGGCCGAATAAGGAGGGTACTACGGTAGACAGCCCTATACTGCTTAGTGGGAGAATCGGGACGGAATTAGTAAAAATCTTCGTAGACGGAGGAGCCAGCCACAGCCTCATCAACACAGCCACAGCATGAAAACTGCGACTGCCACTGGAAAGATGTTTACCTGAGATCGACGCAAGACTGGTAGACGGCACGCCGCTAGCGATACGGGAACGCGTAGACCGGGTTCGGATTCGTTGTGGGGGTAACTTCACGTTTAGCCAGGAAATGCTCGCAATGACCCTCGACGGAAGCAATATTTTACTCGTGCGTGATTGGCTGCGACAACACAATCCGCAAATTGACTGGACGACGGGTGACTGCACCGTGCGAGTGAACAGTAACAACATCGCCTTACCTCACTTGGGCTCCTCTGACTCTTCGTCGGTGCGTGTCAACGCGATCACGATGAAACGCACCGTAGCGGCATGAGCTGACGTGTACGCGTTTGACATTCGGAAAGCCGAGGCAGCAGACAAAGGAGGGAACTTACAGAAACTGCTGGCCGGCGTACCGAGTGATCTAGCAGCACTGTTGAAGCAGTACAGCGACATTTTCCCGGACGATTTACCGACGGGACTGCCACCTCAGCGACCGCACGACCACAGGATAGAGTTAGAACCGGGGGCACAGCCAACAGTACAGCGACAGTTCCGACGGACCCAGCCCGTACTGGACGAACTGAGGAAGCATCTCGATTACCTGCTCGAGAAGGAATTCATTCGCCCTAGTTTGTCGCCCTTCGCAGCACCGATATTGTTCACACCGAAAAAAGACGGGGGATTTCGCATGTGCATAGATTACAGAGCACTGAACAGGGTTACCATCAAATCCCGTTACCCCATCCCGCGAGCCGACGAATAGATCGACCAACTGCGCATAGCCCGGGTTTTCTCGAAAATCAACCTCCGCGGGGGTTACTACCAGATTCGCGTCAATCCGCGCGACTGCCCTTAGACCGCATTTCGAACACGCTACGGATCCTTCGAATGCACCGTCATGCCCTTCGGACTGACCAACGCCCCCGCCACTTTTCAAATGACCATGAACGAAGCTTTCCGCCCGCTCTTAGATGAGTGTGTCATCGTATACCTGGACGACATACTGATTTACAGCCCTGACAGAGCACAGCACTTACATGACATCGAGGCAGTTTTTAAAATGCTGAGTGAGAACCGCCTACTGACAAAAGCGTCTAAGTGTGAGTTTTTACAGGACCGCCTGGAATTTTTGGGACACGTTATTTCAGATGCAGGAGTGGAAATAGACCCGAAGAAAATTGCGACGATTCAAGCATGGCACGCGACGACCAACTTGACCGAGTTGCAGAGTTTTTTGGGGTTCGTCAACTACGTGCGCCGGTTCGTCCCCGACATGGCGAAGCTGACTGCCCCGTTGATAGACCTGCTGAGGAAGGGGGTTGAGTACACATGGGGGGAGAAAGAGCAAGCTGCCTTCTTGGCCCTCAAAAACATTTTGTGCTCACCGCCCGTGCTTCACATTGCAGATCCATACCGTTCGTTCGAGCTCGTCACTGACGCAAGTGACATCGCTGTGGGAGCAGTAGTGTTGCACGATTTCGAGAACGGCCTCCAGCCAATCGCGTACGAGTCCCGCAAGCTGCACCCGCCCGAACGCAACTACCCGATACACGACCGCGAAATGTTGGCGATCGTGCACGCGTTCAAGGTTTGGCGGTGTTACCAGACTGGCGCCGACGTGACAGTTCGGACAGACCACCGATCACTACAGTACCTACGCGCCCAACCAAATCTCAATCCGCGACAGATTCGCTGGTTGGACTACCTCGAGTCCAACTTCCACTACACGGTTACGTAGAAGAAAGGCGCCTCCAATTACGCCGACGCACTCACTCGCCCTACCGCCCAACTCCATGCCATCCTACTCGCCCAAACCAACCCGCTTTTAACAGGCCTATTCACCCACGGATACCGTGAGAAAACTGAAACAAGAATGATTGAACTATGAATGAACTGAGTACAAGTACTAACCCTAATTGGGTTGTACCCCTTATGGGCTACCCCACTATAGCCTACACAATAAGCACAAGCTATATGTTCTGACACACCCCCATAGGCAAAGTGGGGGAGAACAAGGGGTCACAAGACCAGTCAAGCAAAGCAAGC